ATTGTCAAGGGTTTTTTGGTGCTAGGGATTGAACCCAGGTCCTTGCACATAGGTAGCTTGGTACAGTACTATATCACTGAGCTAAATAATACACTTCCTGACCATAACTTTATTATTTATCAATGTCTTTCCTATTTTATACTATTTTATACTTTAAATACTGTGCATATCCAGAAACAATATGCAGTATAATTTTGCATGCTTTCAAATTTTATGTTAATGCAATGAATGTATCATTTGCAATTTGTTTTTGTGCTTGACATCTTTAATGAGATGTATTAATGTTGTTGTTACAGATAGCCCTAATCCATTCATTCTAACTGGGATGTAAGAGTCCATTGTATGATTATACTACAATTAATTTGCCATGCTCATATTGAGAAATACTTGGATTATTTATTTATTTATGTCTATTTCTTCGTTCAAACATTGGTGCAGTGGATATTCTCCTTTAAGAAACAATAGGAGTTTCTCTGGACCATGACTTCCAACTTAAAAAAAAAAAAAAAAACATTAACTGGGATCTACTGTAAAAAACACATGGTGGGGCAGCTAGGGTTGTGGCTCAGTGGCAGAGTGCTTGCTTGCCTTGCACATGTGAGACACTGGGTTCAATCCTTGGCACCACATAAAAAATAAACTAAAAAAATAAAGAATTTGTGTCCATGTATAACTAAAAAAAAAAAAAAAGATTTGTTTAAAAAAATACATAGGGGGTGCTGGGGTTGTGGCTCAGTGGTAGAGCACTCGCCTAGTATGTGTGAGACACTGGGTTCGATTCTCAGCACTGCATATAAATAAATGAATAAAATAAAAGTCCATCAACGTTTTAAAAATATATTTAAAAAAACACATTGGTACTTAGTACACATACATATTCATATAATACACAACTAATATATATACTACTCACACAAATATGTACTAGACACTCCCATACTATGAATGTGTTCTTGGATAATTTTGATCCTATTCTAATTCATTAAAAAATTGCTGGCCAGATTGGTTGTGTTGGCACTTGCCTATAATCCCAGCTGTGGGGAGCAACTTGGACGTTATCCCAGCTCAGATAACAAGGTGTGGCTCCAGGTGTAGATGTTACCCTAGAATGTGCTAAGAAACAGTGCCCACCTCCAAATAAAAGCCTACTTCCCAAGTGCTTGTTCTCTCTCTTGTCAGCCTCTGGTGACCTTCTCTTTCCCCCCTTTGGGGAGCTTGAGGCCAGGAAATGGGGAAGCCATCCTGAAGCTCATATAAAAGGTATTTTGTGTCTGTGTGGTATTTTGCGTCACTCCAAATTCACACAAGTGAACTTTAGTTCAGTCTCCCGTGCTGGACAGGGGTGGAACCCGGCTACTCAGGAGGTCGAGGCTGGAGGATCCAAGTTCGATGCCAACCTGGGCAATTTAGTGAGATCTTGCCTCAAAATAAAAAAAAATAAATAAATAAAAATAAAAAGGTTTGGAGAGATGTTGCTCAGAGGTAGAAAACTCCTGGGTTCAATTCCCAGTACAGAAAGAGAGAGAAAGAGAATTATAAAATAACTGGAAATTCTGGTATAGAAAAAAACAAAATGGGGCTGGGGATGTGGCTCAAGCGGTAGCGCGCTCGCATGGCATGCGTGCGGCCCGGGTTCGATCCTCAGCACCACATACAAACAAAGATGTTGTGTCCGCCGAAAACTAAAAAATAAATATTAAAAAAAAAAAATTCTCTCTCTCTCTGTCTGTCTCTCACTCTCTCTTAAAAAAAAAATGTATTGATGAAATCACTCTTCTCTCACTTTTTTTTTTTTTTTAAGATGTGGGTCTCCTTATGTTTCCCAGTCTAGTCTTGAATTCCTGGACCCAAGAGATACTCCTGCCTTTGCCTCTAATGTAGCCTGGACCACAGGCTCACCCTTCTTTTCTTCCTTAGTGTATTTGCGCTGCTATAACAAAATATCTGAAACTGGGCTATTTATTTATTTATTGGTACTTGGGATTGAACCTAGGGGCTCTTACCCACTGAGCCACATCCCAGGCATTTTTTCATATTGTCTGTAGAGACAGGGTCTTGCTAAATTGCTTAGGGTCTCGCTGAATTGCTAAGGCTGACTTTAAACCTGCGATCCTCCTGCCTCAGTCTTCCTAGTCTCTGGGATTACAGGCGTGTGCCACCATGCTTGGCTGAAACTGGGTAATTTATAACAGACATTTATTTCTCAGTTCTCATAGCTGTAAGTCCAAAATGAAGTGTATTATTTCCTTGTCAAAGTAATAAAGGGCCAGTGTAACTACCCAATTTCTCTCCTCCCTTCTTACAGTGACCTTACAAAGGCCATGTGTTCTATATGACATAGCTATAAAATAGAGAAGGCCACCTAACTTGCATCAGACTTAGTTTGAGCAATATAATCTTCATAGTATTAAACACCCAAGATTACCCAGGCCTTGTACATGCTAGGAAAGTACTCTATCACTGAGCTGTCTCTAGTCCTT